ACACACACACACACACACACACAGACACACACACACACACACAGAGAGACTCTTTTGTTGATAAGCGCTTCTCATTATAAGTTTGGGAAGATGTTTGGCACATGTTGTGTACCATATTCACGCTAAAAACGACTCAAACTCATAGCAGATGCAGAGATGATGTTCATTATAAGTGAACTTCAGAAAATAATCTAAAAGTGAGGCAGACCTGCAGATGTTGTCGATGGAAATGTCTCGGAGCTGCTCGTACATCGACGGCTGGTCTTTCCTGTTGGACAGCAGGTTGAGTGTGGGCTGAGAGTGTTCATTGGTCACATTGATTTTGATGCCGCCGCCTCCTAAAGGAAAAGATATAAAGAGGTCAGCAGAACAAAAATGTGAGCCTGGAGCTCAAAAGCAGTGTTAAGTCGCTGGGGTATATTTGTAGCAATAGCCAACAATACATTGTATGGGTCAAAATTATTGGGGGTTTTTTTTATGCAAAAAGATCATGTTCCATGAAGATATTTAGTAAATTTCCTATTGTAAATACATCAAAACTTAATTTTTGATTAGTAATAAGCATTGCTAAGAACTTCATTCGGACAACTTTAAAGATGATTTTCTCAATATTTAGATTTTTTTGCACCCTCAGATTCCAGATTTTCAAATAGTTGTATCTCAGCCAAATATTGTCCGATCCTAACAAACCATACATCAATGGAAAGCTTATTTATTCAGCTTTCAGACGATGTATAAATCTCAATTTTGAAAAATCGATGACTGGTTTTGTGCTCCAGGGTCACATATAGTGTCTATATACAGGTACAGAGACCGCATGTGAACAATATCAGCGGAGCAATAAATAAATAAATGAATTAATATATATTTTAAATAATACTTATAATAATATAAAATATATTTATTAAAAAAAACGTGTACATATTCAAATAAAAATATAAGCTACAAAATAATATTATAGTAATAATTATATCATTTTTGGCTCTTTACATATAATAATAATAATATAATTTGAATATATTATAGCAAATAAACAAAAATTATAATTAAAAATATTAGCATTATTTGTGGGGGAAATATAATTATTTATTATTATTATTAAATTAATGTGGCCAAAGAACATTCGCAGTCCACGCTAATATTAAAAATAATAAAAATAAAATTTATTTATTTAAATAACTTTATATTTTATACACTATTTTACTGATTTTATACAACATTTACTTTCATTAGTAGTAACACAATAATGTAATGCATTAAAACACCACTCCTCAAGACAGAAGGCACTTCTCAGAGGAGAAGCTGAACTCACCTGAGCTGTACTGACTGTGATACTTGTAGAGTTTGATCAGAACAGCTGACGGAATCAACAGGAAATCCTTCAGAGACGTGGTGGCGGAGTGAGCGATGACGGGGAAACGCTCGCACAGACGCCCTAAACCCTGAGACACACACACACACACACTCATCATTCACGAGCTCCCTCACACACACATACATAAACAAACAAACACTCACACACACACACACACACACACACACACACACACACACACACACACACATAAAAATACACACACTCACACACACATAATAATAATCATAATAATTAATAATAATAATTCAATACATTTATATAGTGCATTTCTAGGCACTCAAAGCGCTTTACATTGTCAGGGGGTATCTCCTCATCCACCACCAGTGTGCAGCATCCACCTTACACACCAAACGTGTGTATCCAAACATACACACACAAACACTCACACATACACACACAAACACTCACACACACACACACACACACAGAGAGAGAGGCACACAAAGAGGCACACACACACACACACACACACACACACATACATACACACACACAGAGGCACACACAAACAAACACTCACACACACACACACAAACACAGAGAGAGAGAGACACACACACACACACATCATTCACAAGCTCCCTCACACATACATACACACACAAACACACACACACACACTCACTCACACACACACACAGAGACACAGAGACACACATCTTTCACGAGCTCCCTCACACACACTCACACACACACACACACACACACACACACACACACACAGAGACAGACAGACAGACGCTCTTCACCTGTAAGCAGCAGATGAGCAGTGGCATGTGAGCGATGATCACTTTACTGGAGGTTTTGGACTGAAGTTTCTCTGACAGTTTAGTGCACAGATTCTCAGCTCCTGAAAGAGGAACCGCAAGAGAAAACAAAATGAATTATTTTATTCAGTAATGTGCTACATTTTTGCAGCACTTTCCAGAACGCAGACACCAACTCCAAGCCAGATGTGGCACATTTATTACTGACATTAATGACAATGACAGGATCTTAGTAACTGGATGCTGAAAAGTGACCCAGACTTGAATGTGAATTTGCAGCCATTTCTTTTTTCTTTGCTACATTACCAACAAAAGCAGCCTAAAACATGACTAAATGCCTACTTGACTGTTGATCACTGATATTTTAGTATTATTTATATACTATTATAATATTTAATAATAATTTGAAACTGCCTTTATTTTTATATTTCCATATAATATATCATATATATTCCATCTATTTTGTTTTGATTTTCATTTTAGATTAAGTTTTAATAATTGTTATTAGTTTTTTTTATATTACTATTTAGCCAAAATTTATTTTTATTTCAGTTTTAGAAAATGTTGTACTTCAACTCATTTTAATTCAGCTAGTTGCCAAGGCAACATTTTTAATTTTGATTTACACTTTAATAATCATTTGTCTTTTTTTTATTATTATTACTAAACATTTCCATGACGTTTTTTCACAAACTATTTATTTTTCTTTACTTTGTTCTTAAATATTTTGGCATTTTTAATTATTCATTTATATTTTTTAAAGTAATTTTTTCAATAATTAATTTTTATACAAAATAACAAAAGCAGTCAAATGCACTTAAAAATGTCAAATACATTTCTGGCATATTATTTCTATTTATTTTTATTTATGCGTTTCCTAAAAATATTTTTGTTTACTTACATGTTTTTTAAAAAACATTTTTTGCATATTTTTTCAAAAGCATTTTTTGCATATTTTTTCAAAAATAATTGGTTTTTATTTCCGTTCTTTATTTAATAATTTGTTATTTACTTACACACTCATCAATTGTTCATAATAAAACCAAAAAAATGATGCATGATCAAAACAGAGTGGGTTTTGATTTCAGAGTTTACATAGATTCCTTAGTTTCATAATGTCTACATAGAAATTGATGTTCGAATATAATAACACAATACCACCCAGATAAACCTCCATGGGAGTGTGACAACATGCCCCGGTGCATCCTACTATATGACCTGGAGACGCTGCAGTGTGTGTTTGTGCTGCAATGATTGACAGGATCTAGACCTTGCTCATCTTTGACGGCCCACACCATGAGGTCCACACAGGCTGCGTTGGCATGACAACGGAGCTTGAGAGGACTGGGTTCCCCTGGCAACCGTTCCTCACGGAGAACCCTCTGGATCTCTGATTGGCTGCTGCTGAACTGCTCCAGAACGAACTCATTAACCTCCTTAACGAAGCTCGTCTGCACATCTGACCAGAGATTCACACGAAACGATCACATACGGCAAAGGTCAAAGAGCCTTCAAAGACATTATCAAACACAAACATTAAAAGAAGTGTTCATTTAAGCTAAATAATGGCTGGATTTCTGCAACCTTTCATGTAATAGAGCGTGTCTCGCAGCATCTTGAACATGCTGACGTACAGCGGGTCGCTGAAGGCTTTGTAGAACAGATCCATGCCTGGATTTGCCTTCATTAATGGAGGAAATAAAGGAAGAGGGAAATCAGGACGAACAAAACAAGCAAACAGGCTTGAGCATCTGGTTTGTGAATTTATTAAATATTCATTAAATATTAATGCAGCAAGTGCAAATCCTATTAAATGTAAGTGTGTCTTCACCTCTGTAACCTCAGACACGACAGCGTCCAGAGTCTTGAGGAATGAATCTGAGACAAAATCCTTCACCTGCGGAAACAACAGTGAGATATTAACAGGGTTATAAATCAATATTTGTAGATTTTGGGGAACATTATTGGCCAATGACACTTGGTTAATTATCAGAAGTCTTAGTTTTCCTACTGACATCTCATTTGAATGAATTACACTGCTCTGCATCTTGATAGAAAATTTCTGCTAATTTGCAAAAAAAAAAAAAAAAAAACTTTTTATTATGTAATTTGATGGTGCAGCTCAGAAAATATTTCGATGACTTTTTTCACAAACAATTTTTTTTTTATTTACTTAAATTATTGGGAAAAAAAGTAATGTGCAAAAATGACATTCGATGTTTGATTGAAAAATGACGAAAATTGACATTTATTTTTTATTAGTTTTTTTCTTAAAAAATATGTTAGCATATATTTTTCAATAATTTATTTGTATTTAAAAAAAATGTTAATACAAAACAAAAGCGGTCTCATTTATAATTTAACTTGCAATCTGCAAAGGAAAATCAGGATTAAAGAAAATAATGAGTCAAATATGCTGAGAATTGAATAAATAGCTGTAATCTGGCTCAGATGAAGACAGGAATCGTGTTGTGGAAGTTTTTCTGATGACTAAGAGATAATTCAAGACTTCTTCACCTTACAAATGGTTGGTGAAAGCAAAAATGCTACGAAATGCATCATATTTAGTAAAAACATGACGTGACAAACAGGCACAGTTTTGGAATTTATTCAGCAAATATGATGAAGAGTGTGTTATAAAAAAAATTTGTCAAGTAAATAATAAATAAAATAAATATTAATTTTCACTATTTGTGAAATTTACAAGCAATTTCTGAATGAAAATAGTAAAAACATTCAGTATGGTTAATGTTAAACAAAAACAGTGTTATTGTAATCTATAGAATTTTTTTTCGTTTATATATACAGTGGTGTGAAAGTTTTTGCCCCCTTCCTGTTTTTTTAATTGTTTGCATATTTGTCACACTTAAAAGATTCAGAGCATCAAACAAATTTTAATATTACACAAAGATAACCGGAGTAAATACAAACTGCAGTTTTGAAATTATGATTTATTTTATTAAGGGGAAAAAGCTGTCCAAACCTGCCTGGCACTACGTGAAAAAGTAATTGCCCCCTAAATCTAATAACTGGCTGTGCCACGCTTTGCAGCAACAACTGCAATCAAGTGTTTGCGATAACTGGCAATGAGTTTTTCACATCGCTGTGGAGGAATTTTGGCCCACTCTTCTTTGCAGAATTGTTTTAATTCAGCCACATTGGAGGGTTTTTGAGCATGTATGGACTTTTTAAGGTCATGCCACAGCATCTCAATC